AGTTTGGGAAGGCAACATTCTCTAAATGATGCAAAAATGAAAATAACACAGACCTTTCATTTGAATAGATAAACAAATACATAGGGTGTGATTGATAAATTGTCGTCTAAATGACGCAAAAATTAAAATAACACTGACATCTCATTTTAACAGATATATTTACCAAAATTACACAGAAATATCTTGAAATACTAAAGAGTAGATTCATTCAATAAAATCGCCATTGGCTTCAACCACGGCCGCAAAACGAATTCGGAATCTTCTGCATCTCTTCTAGGCAGAGAGATACATATGAACAGTTTAAGTTGGCGAATGCTGCAATAATCCTTGCCTTTAGTTCATCTTTGTTGTTACAACGAGTTGTGTTGGTCGCTCGCTCAACTGCGCCCGCCCCACACATAATAATCAAGGGGCTTGCCGTCTGGAGAGTTAGGTGGGCAGATGTAAGGTGTGATGTGATCGCAGAAATTGTATCAAACCCTCACCAACAGATTTGGGAGTGCTTATCTTATCAAAACGATCAGAGCGAGTTTTCAGAGCTGCCGTACTTCATAGTTACCATTAGATTAATCTAACTCTTTCCGAATGCTCTGCACTGAACTCAGATTGACATCCAAGCACTCTGAAATGTTCGTATTGGAGATTTTGGTGCTAATGCCAAGCAGTACAGAATGGCGTTTCCAAATTCCTGGCAGAGTGAATTGTGTTATGGAGCTCTTTTGTTCTCAAAGATGGTGCCCAACTGACCCTACTATACTGTGCTGTCGATAAAATAAAAAGACAAACAACGCACATGCAGGAAATAATATATTGTTGTGGGAAAACGCCATGAAACACACATACACGTACGTACGAACATTCAGCAATATACAAACGCTTTACGTTCACACACAAACGGAAATGTTGACTTTGTCACCTGTAAATTTGTTGTTTAATACATATATTTGTTTCACACACACACACACACAAACACACACACACACATTATATATATATATATATATATATATATAGAGAGAGAGAGAGAGAGAGAGAGAGAGAGAGAGAGAGGCACGGTGGAGTAATGGATAGCGGCTTGGATTGAGGAATCGCAGAGCCGAGTTCGAATTCCAGTCGAATCCATTACATTCACTTACGTACTAATACCCTTGGGAAAAATAGCAGGACAGGCTGGGTTCTATAGCCTTGGATGGCAACTGGTCTAGGAGAAGGACAACTCTGAATTCAAAATCTGCAGAAGGTCGTTTGGGGACCTTCTGGCACTTAGTGCACCAGGTCTCTGTATTCGGCCCTTCAAAATGTGTGGATGGTCCTGCACGAAACCTTCACCACTATAATCAAATCTCATGTGCCGGTGTCGGGCTGTTGGTTTCCTGGAAACTGATCTGCTTGACCCTCATACGTCGAATCTCGACGGGAGAGTCGACTATATATATATACATATATATATATATATATATATATATATATATCGGTCTTATTTGTTTTCTTTACATCTTCGGTTGGACTCAACTTGAGTCCGCCATGTTCTTGTAGTTGGACCTTCTTCTAGCAGGAAATAAACAGCACGTGTTCCTAATTTAACAACACGTGAACCAAACGGTCCCCTACATACTGACAGTATAGGTAAACTGTATCTATTAAAGAAAAAGAGAATTCGATGATGAAAAAGCTGATAGTATTACGTACATAGTCTCGATTAAAAAAGAAATCATCGATGTTTCAAATCCTGTCATATTTCCTGTCTGTGCTCAAATACAATAAAAAAGAAAAGAAATCACGTTCAACCAATTCGTCGAGCTTATCACCATATGGCTGGATTACCTTAGTTCAAGAGATACAACCATCAACCAACGCATTTAATGTTCGGATTAGTTTTGTCTGACAATGATCTGCCAATCACTTTCAATCATAAATATCGCTAAGACAATAGAAACAACACTCTAATGCCGAGTGTTTAAGTAAGTGTTATCGGACCTAATGTAATTACACACTTATCTCCCTGGCGGCAGTGTCCGGTTTATTTAAAGCAATCGAATATGAAAGGCAGACGAGAATAAAAAAAGGAGAAAAAGCGGGAAGCCACCATTTTGAGTCATTGAAAGCAATCATGGTTTTCAATCCCTTGTGGTGCTTATGTGGCAGAAGGATAAAGTTAAATATGGGTAATCGATGCAATTACCTATCGATACATCCAATTATTTACTAATATATCCGATTACGAGCTCTCAATTCATTTCTAAGTGTATAAATAAGTTGATGTGGATAGACAAAACCTGGACACAAATAGTTATTGAGAATGGCATTAGATTGAAGTCAACTTCACATGAACTTATTCCATAATATATATATATATATATATATATATATATATATATATATATATATATATATATATATAGAGAGAGAGAGAGAGAGATAATGAGAGAAAGAGAGAAAGAAAAGAGTGAACGAATGAGAGACAAATAAGAGAAATATATATGCCAACCAAAAAGAGTATGTTAGGGAGCACATTTTCTTTGTTAAGATTTCTCGAATGCTCAGGCCAAGAGACGTAATACACTCTGAATAAAATAAAAATAGTGGCGTCTATTTAAAATACGAGTATTCACTAAAATAACGTTCGAAGTTTATTATATATATATATATATATATATATATATATATATATATATACTTTTCACATTTCTGATCTTAGTTCTATTAAAGAACATTTCTTAGGAAAACATAGGCATTAACATAATATTAGACATACACAGAGTAAAAATAAACTTAAGATATTGGAGGCCTTCTACATTAATTTCTAGTTGCATGTGTTAATCATTTTAATTGTTTCTGCTGTTGGAAGTCTTCGTCTTTGTTATTTGATAAAGTTCTTTTAATGTATATCTGAACTATCACAGAAAGATAAAACGAGTCTAATATGAATATGTCAGCAGTACCAATAATTATATGAGCATTCAGCACCGTCTGGAAAAAATGGAAGTATCATAAATAAAACAAGTCGAATATGATTATGTCAGCAGTACCAATAATTACATGAGCATTCGGCACAGTCTAGACAAAATGGAAATATCATAAATAAAACAAGTCGAATATATATATATATATATATATATATATATATATATATATATATATATATATATATATATATATATATATATGTTCCGATTTCTTTTTGAATTTGTAGGTCTGATGAATTAGATCCTGATTACGATTCCAATGTAATAAATTATAACCATGGAATATTAGTGTTTGAGCCTTTTTTATTATATTCTTGCTCTGTCCTGGACATTGAGTTCTACCTGGATTCTATCCTCTTGGGAATTTATATATATATATATATATATATATATATATATATATATATATAAAGTTTACAGAGGAGCGACTGGTTATCAAGTTTAATTTTACTGCTTTTAAACTACAGTATTCCATGATTTCCTTCCTACATTCATATCTGATCGAAGTGTATCTTAACGTAAACAAATGCCGTCAGACACTACGAAATGGACAAAGTCCGACAATTATTTTAAGTTATTTTCCGTTTATACGTTATTTTTATAGATACAAATATTTAAGTAAATGCTCTGTTTACAATTGTAGTTTAAAAGCAGTAAAATCGACCTTACTAAACAGACGCTCCTCTGTAGCTAAATTGTTATAGCACATCAGGCTATAAGACGGTTCCGTATAGGATACAGGGTCGATTCCTGTCGGAGGACACATATTTTCTATGAAAATTTGTCGGACATTCAGGCATTTGTATCTATAAAAATAACGTATAAACGGAAGATAACTTAAAATAATTGTCAGACTTTGTTCATTTCGTAGTGTGTGAAGTTATATATATATATATATATAAAATAAATAAAGAGTGAGAAGGAGGAGGAAGGGCGAGAGAAATAACAGAAGTAATATGTATTAGGGTGCTTACCTTGTGGGTCTGTTTGTGTGTGGTAGTATGTATTAGGGTTCTTACCATATAAATATTCGTGCTCCGAGAGGAATCGAATCTGTATCCTATACTGAACCGTCATATAGCCTGACGTGACTTTAACCGATTTGGCCACAGAGGAACATTCGGTTAGCAAGGTCGATTTTACTCTTTAAACTGTCTTCCATGATTCTCTCACGTGCATTCATATCTGCCCATGGCGTATCCAAAAGTAAACAAATGACGTCACACATTATGAAATGGGCAAAGTCCGACAATTGTTTTAAGACATTTTTATCTTTATACATTATTATTATAGATACAAATATTTAAGTAAATCCTTTGTTTATAATAAACAGTATTATACAACATTTACCGTATAGGATACAGGTTCGATTCCTGTCGGAGAGCGAATATTTTCTATAAAAACTTCTCGAACATTCAGGCCGGTAAATGTTTAATACTGTTTATTATAAACAGAGCATTTGCTTAAATATTTGTATCTATAAAAAGAATGTATAAAAATGTCTTAAAATAAATGTCGGACTTTGTATAATATATATATATATATATATATATATATATATATATATATATATATATATAGTAATTATTAGGAGGATTTGATAATTATATTTAATTAATTCATCGAGTCTGATAGAAACCTCAGCAGAATGCAGAAAGCACTGGACGGCCGTTTCGTCCTATATTTGGGACTCATCAGCAGTGCGCATTCACAACCGAGAATTGAAACCCTGACAGTTGGGTTGTTAAGCTGACATCATACCAACTGTTCCAGCAGGCCTCTATGACGAAGAGATTGCAAATCAGACTCAATATAGCCCCGCTCGCTCACATATTCCGTTGTGGAAATCAACTGAGTTTCTCTCTAACCATAGGACTGTGCCCCCAGAAGCCACGATTACTCTCACCAAGCCGCTGACTCTAGAGCATTAGAAGCCGGTTCAAGCGATGATATACACAGATAGTAATTATTAGGAGGATTTGATAATTATATTTAATTAAGTCATCAACTCAGGGAGCACAATCCTATGGTTACAGAGTACGCAGTTGAGGTTTCTATTAGACTCGATGAAGTGAGAAAAGATAGTTTGTTAGAGAGAGAGAGAGAGAGAGAGAGAGAGAGAGAGAGAGAGAGAGAGAGAGAGAATGAAAGAGGGAGAAATGGAGAGAGATAACTAAACTCCACAAAGCGGGAGAAAGTGAACGACCAATTACGAAATGGATACCTCACGAGAAAGCAAATTATCTTAAAGACAAAACTGAACAGTAAAATTACACTAAAAAATGCCGAATACATCGTTAGTGACAATCTGCCTATGATAGCGACAGACTACATATGAAGAGAAAAGAAGTAGCAATATCGAAGCTTGTAATGGGCATGTAATATACATATGCCCTAGCAGAGAATAATCGTGACAATCGATCATCCGAGGAGGGGAAGTAACCATTTTACAGTAAAAAAACTTCGTGCAAAACATATGAACAAAATGATCACAGACCAAAAATCATGAGCATGGTTAGGCAGAGGGCAACTTAAACGATCATTGCAGTCCAGAACAAACATCCTAGAACTAATCTTAAAACATAATAAAAAAACGTCGTCATAATTATAATTTTATGCGCCATGTTCATTTTGATGATGTCCATGTTGATGATCACAACTTCCTTTGCTCAAAATAACTTATTTCTTTTTAACACCACCTTTGCTTAATTCTGCCACCCGTTCACACAAATTTGTTTAGAATAAGGATGTCAAATACAGTCATATGTACCTAACAATATTTACAAATGTAAAATAAAATAAGAATTATCATAAAACTAAATTAGAATGATATTATTCTGTGTAATACCATTGTTTTTAATAAGAGAAAAAATAGTTGTTCATTAATATAAGTATTTAGGTAAAGATGTGTGTTGTTATCCATTACTGTAATTTTTTCATGATGCTTTATAATGGAAAACGGTTGATAATGTACGGAGTGTTCATTAGAACATTATAACATAAGAAAATGGTTAATTTTTTCACGTTCTAATGAACGCATTGTCAACCGTTTTGCATTTAAAAGCATAGGGAGGAAAATACGGTAATGGATAACAACGCACAACTTTGTATACATATTTATATTAATGAACAACATATAGATTTGTACTACTTGCACCCCTGAAGATTATCTTGGAAGAAGATCGAAAGTACTTGGCAAATGAAAATAAAAGACATTTGAACAACTATAGCACATTTCTCACATCATTTAACATCAATATACGGAAGCTTATTCGTGAGTATGATCACATTTTAGTAAAAATTAGCAGACATAATGTCTGTAATTTATTCAGACATAAATATATATATATATATATATATATATATATATATATATATACGTACATACTTATTTCATCGACCGTAGTCAAGATCATACCGTTTATAATACCCCAATACCGTTAAATATCAATGCCCATAAACTTTTCTACATGTGCACCAGTGGAGCTATATACTGGTTTGAATTCTAATGTTTCTATCTTCAGGAATGATTAGCAATCAAGGCTAAACAGATTAGTCTACCCTGCTATTTAACTAATAGTTAGATGGAAGGAGAAAATTAATTAATAATTTTCCGAAGAGTATTTGAGCGAATATAAATGTAAATCGATTCGACAGTGAATCGAACTAGGTCCGCCGATTTCACAGTTAACCCTTTGATCCCTGACCACCGTTTTACCGGTAATAGAGAAAAATGACGTCATGCCCAGCCACCGCTTGAACGGTGTGTAAACTATTGTAACTATTTTTATATCTACCGTGAAAAATTACATACCAATTATTTGCGAATTTTGACTCAGGAGCTCAGGCAGAAAGGTTAAAATTGTTCAGAGACGCAGGGTTCTAAGGGTTAATCAGCATATAGGGTTGCGTTTTTTCTCATTTGCATTAGATGATATTAATTTTATTTTTTTTATTTCCTTTTTTGTCACGATCATTTCAACAGACAGTCCACAGAGCACTTGTCTGTCGATCGCAAAAGCGTGAAACCCAGGGTCACAAACTCGCATCTATCCAACCAAATATGTTAGCTCTATCTCTGACATGTACCGCGCATATAATATATAAATAATAATATATATATTTATTTATATTTATATACCTACACTTTTTTTTCACACACACACACACACACACACACACACACACACACACACACACACATATATATATATATATATATAAGGGGAGTGCGTGTGTGTGTGTGTTTGAGTGTTTGTGTGTGAGCGTGTAAAAATTTCTCAGAATTAACCTGTAGAAAAAAACAATATATATTAAGGAAAAAACCCCAACAATTTGACAAATGCACTAGTCATACATAGAAATAAATTCAACCACAATTTTTATTTGAAAAATGCTACAATCATAAAAAAGAAAATAATTCATTCAGAATGAAAATACTCGAGAGTGCTGCCATTGAATATTATCCAAATATTAATGTACGCCCAGGTTTTTTCCAATATCACCTTCCCTAACAGAATCACTCCTCTCCCAAGTCAATATACACAACAAATATATCAAGACATCAAAAGAAAACGGTTGAATCAGTCAACACAATAATAGAAACAATGTTTCTACACCTGGAAATATTCTCTTCAAACGTAAAGTAATTAATGTAATTTTTCAGTTGGCCATAGGAATATACAATAGCGTTTCTAAATTCTTCTAGTTGCTAACGAAATTTTGTTTGTTGTTTATAGAGACTTTGTTTCAATAAATAAAATCAGCCTCTCTTATTATTTTGATGGTTGGATGGTTCCGACTAACATTGTCTTTTTTTTTAGTTTTATCTTTGGTTTACATATTGAGTTAGTTTTCTTGGTTTTTCTCCCCTCCCCCATCATTTCAGGAATGATGACATTTTGAAATTTTTATGTCATGGGATGTTTGGTAGGTCCCCTGTGAATATGCGGTATTGTGGTATATGCAGGATTGACAGGTGATGGATCTGTTCTTGTGGGGCATAAGTAAATTGTTATGAATGAATCGGTCGGGAGTCGGATTAATTTGGTCTAGGATAGCTAAAGAAGACCGTCCTCTCCCCATTTCCTTCTTGGCCTTGTGCCACAATTCTGTATAGTTCAGAATAAATAATCTTTGATTCGATAAATTCATTTCGCTTTTTTCCTTGGAAATGTCCGCATCAGACGAAACGCGTCGGCTTAAACTACAGTTTTCCTATTGTCTTTTTCCTTAATGAACACACACACACACACGCACACACACACGCACACACACACACACGCACACACACACACACGCGCACACACACACACACGGAAATTGTTAATGGAGATTATCGAAATTTAATAAAAATTAAGAAACAATAATAATTAATGGAGATATATTTCTTTGATGGATGGTGAAAGAAAGATCATCTGAAAGGAAAACACTTGGATGTTGAAATGAGAAGAAGGACAAAATGTTTGTAGCGTAACAAAATTGGTAATATCATCAAACACAAAAGTGCCATAATGTATTAAGTGGATTGATTTAATTCTGATGCTTTTCCAAACAAAGGAGACGCGAAATATGAAAGGCAATGAAATATAAATGCTAATTAAACAAATTGACGTTTATTTAATTTGACAGAATGAATATAAACAGATTATTAGGGCGAAAGGGAAAGCTCTATAAGGCAAAGTGCATAAAACAGATAAAGAAATTGATCATGGAAAGCCAATACCAGAAAGCACACAAAACCGGACAGAAAATGAATCGTGCCAAGCCAAGTGCAGAAACAGGGCAGAAAAATTGATCGTGGAAAGGAAATATCACAAAATACACAAAACAGAGCCGAGAATAGAACATACTAAGCCAATATTACAATGTACAAAAAACATAGCCGAGAATGTAACGTAGTAGGTCAATATCGCAAAGTACACAAGGCATATAAGAAATTAGATCGTGCCAAGACAATATTCCAAAGTACACAAAACAGAAGCTAAAATGGAACGTTGTAAGCCAATATGACAAAGTACAAAAACATCAGAAAACGGATCGTGTCAAGACAATATCACAAAGTACACAAAACCGGTCAGAAAATGGATCATGGTAATCCAGTATCACAAAGTACACAAAACCGGGCAGAAAATGGATCGGGGTAATCCAGCATCACTAAGTACACAAAACCGATCAGAAAATGGATCGTGGTAATCCGGCATCACAAAGTACACAAAACCGGGCATAAAATGGATCGTGGTAATCCGGCATACACAAAACCGGGCATAAATGGATCGTGGTAAAAGTACAAAGTACGCAAAACCGGGCAAAAATGGATCGTGGTAATCCAGTATCACAAAGTACACGAAACGGGCAGAAAATGGATCGTGGTAATCCAGTATCACAAAAGTAAAACATAAAAACGGGCAGTATCACAAAGTACAAAACGGGCAGAAAATGATTGGGGTAATCCAGCATCACTAAGTACACAAAACCGATCAGAAAATGGATCGTGGTAATCCGGCATCACAAAGTACACAAAACCGGGCATAAAATGGATCGTGGTAATCCGGCATCACAAAGTACACAAAACCGGGCATAAAATGGATCGTGGTAAACCAGTATCACAAAGTACGCAAAACCGGGCAGAAAATGGATCGTGGTAATCCAGTATCACAAAGTACACGAAACGGGCAGAAAATGGATCGTGGTAATCCAGTATCACAAAGTACGCAAAACCGGGCATAAAATGGATCATGGTAAGCCAGTATCACAAAGTACACAAAACCGGACAGAAAATGATTGGGGTAATCCAGCATCACTAAGTACACAAAACCGATCAGAAAATGGATCGTGGTAATCCGGCATCACAAAGTACGCAAAACCGGGCAGAAAATGGATCGTGGTAATCCAGTATCACAAAGTACACGAAACGGGCAGAAAATGGATCGTGGTAATCCAGTATCACAAAGTACGCAAAACCGGGCATAAAATGGATCATGGTAAGCCAGTATCACAAAGTACACAAAACGGGCAGAAAATTGATCGTGGTAATCCAGTATCACACAGTACACAAAACCGGGCAGAAAATGGATCGTGGTAATCCAGTATCACAAAGTACACAAAACCGGGCAGAAAATGGATCGTGGTAATCCAGTATCACAAAGTACACAAAACCGGATAGAAAATGATTGGGGTAATCCAACATCACTAAGTACACAAAACCGATCAGAAAATGGATCGTGATAATCCCGCATCACAAAGTACACAAAACCGGGCAGAAAATGGATCGTGGTAATCCAGTATCACAAAGTACACAAAACGGCCATAAAATGGATCGTGGCAATCCAGTATCACAAAGTACACAAAACGGCCATAAAATGGATCGTGGTAATCCAGTATCACAAAGTACACAAAACGGGCAGAAAATTGATCGTGGTAATCCAGTATCACACAGTACACAAA